CAACCTCAAAAACCAAAAACCAAAACAAAACAGGCTGTTTCCTAACTAGCCAGCTCTGAAGCAGGTAGAAATATCAAAGGAATTCACCTCACTGGCCAGTTACCTGAAGTGGGCTGTCTCACTCCATTCAAAAGGTGAAATTTTGAGCAATAGGAGTTATATACTTTTGGATTCCCATAGAACACAGACAAAACAAACAAACAAACAAACAAAAAAAAACCAACAACAAACAAATGGGGACAGCAGGGTCTTGCACAGGAAGGGCGGCAAGCGGGTGAAGCTGCCCTCTCCACTGCTGCTATTTGGGGCATATGGAGGCTGAACATCACAAGGTTTTATGTCAGATCTTGCCTTTTTTTTTTTTTTTTTTTTTTTAACAGTCACTTGGTCTAGGTCCTTTTGAAAGATCTTCACAAGCAGGATTGCATCTTTGGAAACACTGTTTTTATAGGGTTTAAAACACACATGGTTAGAAGAACCTGACCCAGAATTTAGTGTTTCTCGGGTAACTGATAAACACGGAGTCTTTCTGCCTTTTCTTCCTTCTATTAAAGTGTCATTAAGGAAGCATTAGATGTGAAGAACATTCACCAGCCCATTTTTGTCTAGGGAGGGCAGTACTCTTCCCTCCTTATATCCATGTGTTGGGATGCTGGACACCACTGGCAGGGCAGCATGATGGGCAGCAGAAATCCTGTTACAGCCTTTGAGCTGTGCTATAGCCGTGACCAGCAGTGTACCCAGTGGTTGCCTGTGGGGAGGATGGGTGTATCCGCAGGAAATCCTTCTTGTTTAGGGTTTGTCATTGCATTTGGTTCCCATGAAACTGGAACTGAAAGAAGGCCACACTATCAGGAACCTTTTAAAGTTGACCTTATGATCTACTAACTCGGAGTGTTTCCCTGGTTCTTGAAAAGCAGTAGTAATGCGTCAGAAAATATGGGTGAATAAATCAAACCTACACTTGCACTTGTCTTTATATTCACCCTCACACCTCACAGTTTTCAGAGTGAAAACTGGCAGAGGCCTGCCATAACGCAGACACAGCCATTTAGAAAAAGGCAGTAGCATTGGTTAAGGGCCATAGGAATATAAAATATGAGCCACTTGTCACCTGTCAGTTAAAAGAAAACATTGCACGAGCATCTTGGGACATCTCCTTTGCTGTGTTTGTGTAATTTGGTAACTTTTCCAAGCACTTTCCTTGCAGAAGCTTTCAATTCGTTTATTCTCTCACCATGCCCACTTCCCAAGATTTGTCCTTCATTTGACCAATGGAGGCAGTCATTTTATTTTAATTTCCCCTTCCCTCCGCACTCGGGGGCTTTCCCCCTTCCACAGAGGGCAGCTGTTGCCTGTTGGTGCCCTCTCAGGCTCTGGGAGCACCCAAGGGCCCTGCTTGCTCTGGCGGTGGCCTACAGGGGCCTGTGGGTGCCGTGGTGCTCAGGCATGGCCCCGTGCTTTGTAGCTGGGTGTAAATACAGCTCAGCTCGGGGCAGGGCCGAATCCGGCCCTCAGCCAGGCGCAGGGCACGGTAGTGCCGCTAAGTATAGCAGCGGCTTCGCGTACAGTAGGGTGACCCAATAATTATGCAAGATAATACTGTATGCAGCTTGCTCGCCTCGCCATTCAGAGCACTTGCCAATAATACACACGCACACTTCGTTATCTCCTTTCCTAGCTGGTGGCTTTTATACGCGGTCTGTTTTCTCCCGAGATCACTGGAGCTATGGCACGGAGGGCTGTCTAGGTATATTTAACCCTGCGGGTCATTCCAACGTGCTGCTTTAAAAGAAGATCATATTGTTTTTCCTGCTTTCCATTTTTGAAAGGCTAGGCTTTGGCCAGAGGGCACTCTACATATCTGGCTGCAAATAGACTGCTCAGAGCCAAGCAATGCGGTGCCTTGACTAATTTCAGCATTCACTTAAGCTAAATTATTTATGATACTCTCTGCACAGGCCTTTCTCTGTTGTTGTTGTTTTAATGTTGTAATCTTCGCCAGAATAAAGGGATAATTTGCATGCATTTTCAGCTACTGCAGTAGCTAACACATGGCTCTGCAGATCGAGGCCAACTACAATATATTCAAAGTTTAAACTGAGTGGCCAGAAGAGGGAAATTTTGACGTGTCAGTAAATCACATCCCTAATGGTGAGAAAGCTTAGCATTTTTACATAAGCAGCTGAAACAACATCAGAAACATTTTCCAATGATATAGTTATTCACTTGTATCACAAGCTCATCGCCTTTGCTGCAGGAACGTAAATCAGGGAGATGTTAGGCTGAGAAGGGTCTATTTTCACCTCCAAGCTGGTATTATGAGTCCAAGTTCATCGTCAGTGGAGCGTGGCTCTGTCTTTATGAGAATATCAAACAGAGGGAAGAAACACAATAGCATTTTAAGGAGCCTTCTCGCTCCCAGCAGACACAAGGTACAAGAGATAAGAAACCAAATAAAAGTTGGAAGGGAATGCAAAACAGAGAGGTACCCCCTGCTTCACCAGCTGCTGGCTTGCCAAAGAAAACAACAGAAATGGGGATTAGAGCTTGCAACATGCACATTAGCGCAGGACTACCTATTCCCTGCCTTTTCTCCTCTGAAAAGCTGCCATGTGAGGAGAAACATTCCTTTTATTATTTATGGGGACAGCCACTCTTGTTTATTATGCTCATGTTACTATGCTCCATGCCAAGTACAAGCCCTCTTTTTTTTACGGAGAAGTTTTTCTTTGTATGAAGGGGGGGGGGAAAAAAAAGAAAGAAAGAAAAAAACAACTGTTTGCAGGATTAGTGAGGAAATTAAAGCCAGGGCAGAGAAAGGAGGTCTTTCTGCAGAGCTGGGAGCAGTAGGAGCAGTGTGCTGCAGCACCCAGCAACAGGGTGCTCGCGGTCAGCTTGCCCTGGCCTTCTCCAGGCACCCAAACACCTGAGCAGCACCAGGAGCCCCAAGTTCAGGGTGGAAAAAAGATGAAACAGCCAATAATGTGAACAGCAGTGGCTGGGCAGTTTGTGGGAGAGGGATATTTCCCTCCCCCCCACCCCATCTCCCTGGGTTTGGAACAACATTGACAGGATGGAAAGAAAAACAAGTTTATTCCCCCCTCCTCCTTTTTGTTGTTGTTGTGGCAAGGCAGCTGAAGAACAGCTGACCTATTTTCTGAGTTCTGCAGCTCTGGAGGCTCCACAGCACCTGACGGCTTCTTTGTGCCTGTCCCCTGAAGCATGCTTAATGCTCAAAGGCCTTGCCCTGGTCAGGGACTGCAAAGAAGGAAACTCTGGACTGCTCTTGGATCACATCCTGAATGCAGGCAAGGGTTTGAAACACATAGCCAAATACAAAGAAAATCCAAAAGCGAATGGGAGGGAAACCAGGCAGCAGCTTTGTCTGTGGTGGATGGCAGTAGATTTACTGCCTGGTTCACAAACTGCCTACAGCTGGGGGAAATTGCTAGTTCAATTCTCCCATGTTTAATGTGATTACTAGTACTAGTTCACAGGCTTAATTTCATTCCCTTGAATTCCTCGCCACTAACAGAAAACAATCAAACAGAAAAAGGCACAATAAAAATGCCTTCCAAACGCACAGAATACAGAATGCATTTCTCAAAGCAGGAACTTTCACTCATTCTGTCTTCAGAAGAGATTTTTCTTTTCAAGTAAATTTTACAGAGAAGAGGTTTATATTGGAAGATGGATATGCAGTGTTGTATGGAAAGAAGAGAACTCTTTCTCCTTTCTCTCTGGGGTTTTTAAAAACCCTGACCAAAGACCCTTGAGAACATAATCTAGGAATTATATATTTGAATATGGGAGAAAGTAGAAAGACCAGAGATTTGCAGAGTCCACATCAAACACCTCACTGGATGGTGAGAAGGGGCAGCTCTCCCCTGCTGGGAGAGTGCATCAATCATAGAATTGTAAAGATAAGAAAGGACCTCCAAGATCATCTGGTCCAACTGTTCCCCAACCACCAATATTACCCCGTCAACCATGTCCACATTCAACCTTTCCTTAAACACCCCCAGGGATGGTGACCCTTGGGATGGGTGGTCAGCAGACCCAGTACACCTGTTCCAATGCATGACCACTCTTTCTGAGAAGAAACGTCTCCTCATTCCCAACCTGAACCTCCCTTGGTGCAGTGTGAGGCTATTCCTTCTACTCCTGTCCAGTTCCCTCTAGTCCTGTCACAGGTTACCTGTGAGCAGAGGCCGACCCCCAGCTCCCCACAGCTTCCTTTCAGGTAGCTGTAGAGAGCAATGAGGTCTCCCCTGAGACTCCTCTTCCCCAGACCAAACACCCCCAGCTCCCTCAGCCGCTCCTCACAGGACTTGTGCTCCAGGCCCTTCACCAGCTTCGTAGCTCTTCTCTGGACATGCTCCAGGGCCTCGATGTCCTCCTTGTACTGAGAGGCCCAAAGCTGAATGCAGTACTCAAGGTGCGGCCTCACCAGAGCAGAGTACAGGGGAACGATCACCTCCCTGCTCCTGCTGGCAGCACTATTCCTGATACCAGCCAGGATGCTGCTGGCCTTCTTGGCCACCTGGGCACACTGCTGGCTCACGTTCAGGCAAGCATCAACCAGCACCCCCAGATCCTTTTCCTCTGCACAGCTCTCCAGCCACTCTGCCCCAAGCCTGTAGCGCTGCATGAGGTCGTTGTGGCCAAAGTGCAGGACCCGGCACTTGGCCATGTTGAACCTCATCCCATTGGCCTCTGTCCATTGACCCATCCTGTCCAGGTGTCTCTGCAGGGCCTTCCTACCCTCTGGCAGATCAGCACTTCCCCCCAGCTTGGTGTCACCCACAAATTTACTCCTATCCTATAAGGACTCCTATCCTATATGTCATTTTTCAGATTTTACCCTTAAAATACAGGCTACAGCAACTGAGTTCTGGTTCAGAAACCACTTATTGCTTCATGATGGCCTTACAACAAGATGTGGAGCAAATGTTTTCCTGTTTATCAGCAATACAAATACCATATGACAGCAATACTTCAGGCAGAGTCTTTCTTTCTTTATTGGCATGATCTGAGTTACAGCACAATTCCCAATAATGAAATGAAGCATACCATAGCAAATTGTATTCCAACAAACTGTGTTTTTCTCTGTATGAGGTTGCTAATATGAATACTATAAGCAAATTATATGTTTAACATGCCATTTCACCCTTCTTTACTATAAATTGCTGAGCTTACCTGGATTTCATCCTCAACATAGCATTAGGGGTTGCTGCAGATACTGTATTTACTACATTCCCAGGGCAGGTATCTCCAGGTTATTGCCTCAAAATGATTGATAACTTTTCATGCTCTTTCAGACTTGCCTGGGTAAATTCTGCAGGCATGGTTTCTCTAATGGCTTGCCTATGGATGTTTTATTTTACATTTTTCTCATAAAGAGGCAGAAATAATGGCCACCTTTTAAACAGAACGCCTGATATAGTGCACTGAAATACTACTCTCATTGTGCCTGTGCTATCCAATGTACCGTGCACAGCACAATACATTTTTGTGTGCTGATTTTACTACCTGTTAAACATATCTTCTCTGTCAGTGAGACTGTCCATTTAATTTAATATACATCTGCTCTGCAACTGCTACATTATTTAAACATTTACAATCTTGTTTGCCAGTGATTGTCTCAGTGTCTCTAACTTGTTAATTAATGTTTATTGCGTATCTGATTATATTTTACTCATTGTTCCCTTAATTTCCACTGAATAAGCCATAAACAGTTCTTATTAGTTATTATCAGTTTAGCTCGGCGCAGGATTAACGTTATGCCATTGTTGACATAAAGCTGCAGTTAATAATTCACTTCCTTCCCTTCAGCCGAGGCAGGCAGGGAGTTATTTTCTGGCTGTTTGCATCCCCAGCCGCGTGCCCCTGCCCGAGTCAGACACTGTCCAGCAGATGTAGGGATGAATTATGCTCCAGAGTTCTCTCTTGCATCACCATCATCGTCTTCTTTCATCCCCTCACTGTCCTCACCTCAGGAAAGTCAAACTGAGTCCAGTAGCCTCAAGGGAATTATTTTCATTTATAGTGCTGCCCTGCTGCTGCATCCCCACATCCTTGTCTCACCCCAGTGCCTTACCAGCCTCATTTTCCTCAGCCCTTGATTTCCTCCTCTGAGAAAGGTGCTAAAAATTACCAACTTCCCCTTGGGGCTCGGTGGCACAGGTAACTCCCAAATTTTCCTGCCTGGGGTGAAGTCAGCACTTTATAAGCACTGGTGTGCCCTTCCCTTTGTGGTTCCCCACCAAGACAAACATGCTCTTGCTGATGTACCCATCCTTGGGAGCTTTGCAGTCAGCAGCTCTTCCCAGCAGTGCTCGGGGACTGGTCTCTGGCATTATACCCAACCAAGAGAAGTTGTGGATGCCTCAACCCAGGAGGTGTTCAAGGCCGGGCTGGATGGGGCTTTGGGCAACCTGGTCTGGTGGGAGGTGTCCCTGCCCATGGCAGGGGGGTTGGAGCTGGATGGTCTTTAAGGTCCTTTCCAGCCCCAACTGCTCTGTGATCATATGCAGCATGGATATACCTGTATCTCTGGCAGGTAGATATGAATCTCCCAAACTATCTTTGGCTGCAGTTGTTCAGAGTCTTCTCTGGGACATACTGAGATGCACGTCTTGCTCACAAGGCCCACCAAAGCTTGAATCTGTTTTTGTTGTATCGCTCTTCCTGGCTCCACGTGGGCTGGCTGTGTGCTGAGAGTGTCAGGTCTCTGCGGGAGAACCGCTGTCAGCTCATCTCTTTGTAAATCATGCTGCAAAGTGCAGGCAGGATGGTTGCGGGGGCTCTGGGCACCACTACAGTACTAATAAATGCTCAGTAATAATAAAAGTAAAGGAAAAAAAACTAAAAACAAATAGCAGCAGCAGGAGCTGGCAAGAACCAAGAAACCGGAATGTTTTCATTTCTTTGACCTTTTATTAAAGCTAGTCAAAAATGTGTATCTGAGAAGTCTTTTCCAGGAGAAAATCTCTCTTACTCTTTTCTCCAAAGTGAAAAGTTACCAACAGTTTTATTTTTTCACAGAAGCTTCTACAACATTATAGTCAGATTTACTGAAACTACCCACAGATGTGTCAATTTACTGAAACAAACCATCTTAGACAAATGCAAAACATTTGACAGGAGTTCAAAGAGGACTCTTTAAAAGCTGCTTAATAAAAATGCTAGAAAAGCTGAAGAATCACTGAAAGAGAATAATTTTGAATACTGTTACACAGTTCTAGTTACACAATTTCTGCTATAAAAAATTGGAACTGTTTGAATATATTGAATACATGATTGTGTGTGCATGTATCCTTATATATCTATGTAAGTATCATTTATATTTATTATTAATATTTATTATTTATTGATATATGTATGCTAGCACATACAAATGCCTATATGTGCTTAACTGTTTCATGGCCTTAGAAACTATCCTGGCCCTCTCAGGTACTGACAGTCACTGCTATACAGGGGCTCTGGAACAAAGTCTGGAGAGATACCCACACTCTGTGGCTCTCAAGGGGGTTGCAGAACCCAAATAGGCCATTATTTATCAAAAGTTCATCTGTCTTGCAATGGAAATAGGAAGTGCTTAGATACATAGAGACAAAAGATTTTCACTCTGTTTCACAAGGTGCCTCAGTCTCTGTTGCTGAGGAGCTCTTCTTGCAGTACGGTGCTGTCAGGGCCACCTAACAGACAGTCTCCAGGGGGTGATTTTGTTCTTGAACTGTAAAGGGTCACTGGCTTTAAAAAGCTTCACATTCCCACTCTGAGTGGAGTAGTAACTTTTCTATTTTATAAATAATGTTGTTGTAATGTGCGTGTAAATTAAGGACCCTGATGATTGGTTTCTAATATTTGTTCTGCACTCCCAAAGGAAAAAAAGAACCTGGCAAGGAAAACAGGTATCCAATGAATCACTCTTCTGTTGATTGAATGAGGTTACTATTATTTCTAGAGACTTGAAAAAACATGACCTGTGCTTCTGAATTTAATTTTATTGTTACTGACACTTCTGGTCAACTTAATGCAATGTTAAGGCCTGCTGGTTCTCCGGAAAACTTGGCTCTTATAAATAATGTTCACTGTCTGGTTGCATTGTGGAGTGTTGCCCATATCACCTCCCGGGTGCAGACCTGGACAGTATGAACACCCGTACCAGTCAGTCTGACCCAGCATCCTACTTCTGACAGGGCAGCAGTACCATGGATGAAGTGATGCCTTCTCTGGTACACCCTTCCAGCTTCCAGCCATCAGCAGGTAGGGGATTTCCGAATCAGGAGATAGCATCTGGGCGGTTGCATCCGTAGGTCTTGATTAAGCTATTCCCTGTAGATTGTTTAGTGTTTTCTTATGACTTAATTTACTTTTTTGGCTGCCACAGCATCCCGTGGGAATGAAATCTACAGCATAATTGTGCTCTGTGTGTATTGATTTAAACCTGAGGTCTGATCATTCTAGTTTTTCTGACACAATGAGTAAGTGCTTCCTATCCATCTTTCTCCCCTGTTGACTTGGTTTTATAGCTACCACATCTCCTCACAATTATCTCTTTTACAGGCTAAAAAATTGCAGCCTCTCTAGTTTCCCCTCACATTCCATACCTCTGAGCATCCTGCTGCTTTCCCCGACCTCTCTCACTCGACCAGCCCTGTCTGAGGTAGGGCAGCAGAACTGCCTGCAGTAACTGCAGTGTAGGTGGATGATAAATTTACCCAGTGAAACAATGACGTCTTCTGTTTCACTCTCTTTTTCTTTCTCGGAGGCTTTTCAACTTTCTCTGAGCCTTGTGCAACCATTTTTCTGTGTGTTAGCCACAGTGACTCAAAGGTCCTTTTCCCAAGCAGCAAGTGGGTTAGTTCCCAGCATTCTGCACACGTAGGTCAGTTTCTCTCATTCCCCGTGCCCCTGGTTTGTGTTTCTCATCACTGAATTTCATTTTCCATCTTATCCATGTCTTTTAGGGCACTCCATACTTGGAAGAGTTGCTCCTGAATGCAAGGAATGGGAAAGATCAAATGTTACATTCATTTCTCATGCACACATTCATGAATCTAGACTTTTGATTATTTCTCTCTCTGTTTGAACAACATACTCTCCTCTTGCTAACAAAGCTATGCTGATCTTTCACTGACACCCCCCAGATCAGAAGCAATTGCTTTATTTTGTAGCAGCTTAGACTGCACAGCTCATTACAAGCTCTATTATGAACACCTTGTTTTTAATTCTCTCTTGAAAGTAAACTGTTTGAATATCTTTACTGATATTTTATTGGCAGGACAGAAAATGTCCAATACATTCTGATTAATATTGCTCAGTTAATTTTCAATAAATATTTTACATATAAAACAAATGAGACTTGGTCAAGTTATCATAGCCAAACAATGTACAATCTCATCACCACCTTAGAGTTACAAAACCTGAATCATGATGATCTGCTTTTTATTCTGTGTTTTTAAAACTTTAATGCCGGATGCCTGTTCCACGCTGTGCCACACAAGAATAGCAATTCTTTATTAGGAATTGGTCAATGGCATAAGTGGGCATGGGCTTCCCACGTTCAGTGTGAGTGCTTTCCCCACAGTCAATCGTTAGCACATAAATCTTAAAGCAGCCTTAGGTGAGTACTTCAGCTTGGCTCTCAGCCTTGTCTGGAAGTTCTTCTCAAAAAAAAGAAAAAAAAAAGAAAAAAAAAAGACAAAAAAAAAAAAGACAAAAAAAAAGACAAAAAAAGACAAAAAAAAAAAAAAAGACCACCCAACCAATTTTCTGTTGCCAGTTATGTAGTGTTAGATATGCCATATTTTCTGCCAAGGCACTCTTTCTAGTATTATTCTACCTTTGTCTTTCCTTCATGTGTCCTCCCCTTAACTCATTTTTATTCAGAATTCTGCACATCAGGAAAAAAAGTTACAAAATCAAAAGAGGAAACATTAGATTTGCAAGGCAGCAAAAACAGAAGTCCAGCCAAAGAAGAGTAAAATTTTAAGAGAAGAAAATAATAATTCGGTCAAATAAATTGCTTCCTAATTACTTTCCTTCTTTTATTACACCAGATTGTTCTTTTGGTGAATGTGTCAAGCTGATGAAGGTCTCTACCATGATTCCCAGCTGAGTTTCACCTCAGAGAAAACAGATCTTCAAGTCTGAAGGACCTTTGGAAATCCCTGAGACTGAAGGACTCTCCTGGCATAACCGTGTATGTCTGTGTTAGGAGTGTTGTCTCCCCAGCTCCTTAACCACATATCCCTTTAGGGCTGTGCTGGAAGGGATGCTCACAGGTATGGCTCCTTCTGCTTCTTTAGTACCCATTCATAGATAGCCCCTGACCATTTTCAGCACAGCTACAGTGAAATGACACATTTCTTACTGTAGTCATGCCTCCAGCCATCTAGATTTTGGCCCTTATACAGAATAAGGCCTCCATGAGGAAAGAAGTGGGATCTTGGCAGCCAGCACTGCACAATTTGGGGGACAAGAGAGCATGATGTGGAAAACTGATTACAAAAAACATCTCCCTCTTTGCTATACTTTAGGAAAATATGAATGAAATACAAATATACATAAAAAAAGAAAAAAACATGCACAAAAACAGAAGCAAACAGCTCTCCTTCCCCAGAACTAGTGACTGTGGATACCTTGCTAGCTGAGATGACTTTGGGTGGCCCCAGGAGCTGGAGGTGTATGCAAAGTGACAGTGTCTGATGTGTGGTATCCCCAGGTGCTGAGTTTTGGGAAAGTCCCTCCTGCAGACACAGAGCAACTCTTCCTTAGCAGTTAGCAAGCAGCAGAGGTGACTTTTGCTTAGGGAAACCAGATTGCCACATGTTCTAAACATGTGTTTTAAAGGGGGCTTTTTAATGATATACTTTTTTTTTTTTTTGAATAGTTAATGCATAAGACCAAAGAGTAGGTAACAAAGGAGTTACATGTGAAAGAAAAGCTAAGTTTCATAGCCATGATTATGGTACATGGGACCTAGAGGACACCCAGGCCAAAGGCACTACAGAGTGGATGTGGCCAGCCTGCTCCAGGGTAGACAAACCCTGAGCAGTGTGAATTTGGGTTGGTCTTTATCACTAGGCTGTGGATTTACAACCTGGAGTTATGCTTTTTACACTATTTGTACATAACAAGAAAAAATGTTTTGCATCTTACGGCCTTTGAGGAAAGGCTCTCAAGGTGATTTATGAGCACTGAGTTTCCAGAGAGCCCAGTGAAATTCCTGTTAGGAATTGCTTAGTTGTGGAGATGAATGAAGCAACGTGCTGTAAGTTTAAAGCACTCATTCATCACCATACAAGCTGTTTAGCAGAAGAAGCCCAAACCCAGAAGCCTTTCTGATGCATGGTGAGCCCTTCACATGTGTCATGCTATGACAAAGGGCTCCTGAGGTGGCGGCCTACGGCTGATAAGACAAGAGCTGCCTTCCTGCCCTGCATCTCGTGCTTGCTCCAACCTGGTGGCTTGGCAGCATTCTTTCCAGTGAAAGGAATACCGTGGGAATCTTCTTCCTTTCCTCCTGCAGGCCAGGCTCTGTTTCTGGGCAGATCGCAAGGGTTTACCTTATCAGGAGAAATTCCTGTGCCGTGCAGCCTGATGAACAGCTCAGCCACATGCAACGTGCATCCCCATGCTGCAGTGAGAGGGAAGGCTGGTGGACTCCTGTGCACCATCCTGGTGACATATAATAGTGCAGTGACACCATAACCAAGTCTGAGTGGTCTGGGAGCTTTATTGGGTTGTAAGGGAGCTCTGCCCTTTGCGTGACATAGTGACAGAGCTTGCATGGTCTGCAGAGCTCAGAGCATCCCCCAGCACCTCAGCCTGTGTCAGACTAAAAGCACAAGCTCTAGTGAGAGGACAGGAAGCCTCCCACCAGCTGAAGCACAGCCCATGATGGTGGGACCTGTGGGCGGTGCTGCTTTACCCGCCTGCTGCCTCCTCACCTGGGGCAGTTTGGTTAGCAGCTATGGCATTGGTGCTACAGGCAACTGTCCAGGCCGTCTGGCACCCTGGCTGGCAATATCCTCAAGGGAATAAGGGAGCCTCGAGGCTCTGCTTCTCCTCTGCCATCAGAGGTGAAGCCCTGCAGGATCCAGGCATGTGCTGGCAAAGCAGCCTGGGGAAGCTTCTCTCACAGTGACACTTGCCACATATGCCCTGAGGATGCCCAAAGGGTTTCAGTCTCCCTCTGGCTCCTTGAATAAACATCACTTCCAATGCAAGCAATGTAAAACAAACAAACAAAAAGTTTGGAGTACAGGCTCAGTTTACTGGGGAAGGACAGCAGGGTAAAACTGCAGGGGAGTCCTGGGCTGCACTCAGCATGCAGCGGATCCAGCTGGTTTGGTTCATCTTGCTCTAGCTGTAACAGATGAGAAGAAATGCTCCTGCCTGAAACTCTGTTTCAGCTCCTTTAGGGGATTAGTGCTGGAAGGACCCCCGCCTGCATCACGCTGCATTGCAGAGTTGCCAACATCTCCCCATCCTGGATCCAAAGAAGTCCCTGTGCCACCTGCTGTGTCCCAGTCAGAAAGGAAGGATGTTTCGGTGAGATGCTTCTTTTTCTATTTTTTTTTTTTTTTCTTTCCAAGTTCACATCTGCAGGAAGGGACTAACTTTGTTGCCTGTACTTGAGACCATGTGAAGATGGGAGTTGCTTTCAGCAAGGGTCTTTGGATTCGTGTGACACTGGTAATACATGTAAATAGCTAGGCACATTCAGTAAACAACAACAGCTTTTCTTTCAGTTGTAGAATGGTATCTGGCAGGCAGACAGCATCTTTTTTGAGTATAAGGCACTTAGTCTACAGGTGGGACGCTCCATCCAAACAGTGACAATTGTATATTCCTAATACCTTTTGCAAAAGTCTGCAGTATCATCTGTTAAAAAGTGTCTGGAAAATCCACCTTAAAAAAAACACACCAATGAAATGGCCTGCCAAGCTGCAGCTTCCTGATCCTTCCATTATAAAGAAATTTGCTTATGGTGCAATTTATGTAGGCTCCATATTCCAGCAAAAATACATCAAGTGGTATCAGGTTACCAGAATCAGTCCTAAAGCAACTGTTTCCTAGAGGGGGAGGTAAAAAAGCAGCAGCAGCTTGCTTCACGTTCAGTAAGTGGTTGTGACATAGGGAAGTAACAGGAACATGAGAAACAAGATTTTTTTTTTTTTCCCTTTTTGAAAACCTAATATGGTAACTAAAAGGAGAGGAAGTGCCTATTTTTCAAACTGAACCTTAATCAATTTTCCAGCAAGGACAGTGTCTCCAGACAGCGGTCTATCTGCTGCAACAAAACAACGACCATAATGATACCCCTCCCTCTTCTTTGAGAAATTTCCTGGAAAAAATATTGCTATCATCTCTAAATCTTCAAACGTTGTAAAATATCCTGTGTGGGGTCAAAGAGGCTTCCTGAAAGAAGGTCTAACAACACAACCTCCCACTCGCTATAGATAAGCTTGTGTTCTATCTTCCAGCAGGAACTCGCGTTTCAAAGACATGATTTGAAATAAAAATAAAGAAAAGGGTTTTCATCTTTTGCTGAACTGCTTAGGTTTTTCTGTTAGGGAAGCAAATATTAGCAGAAGCCAGTGCAGCTGCTACAGAGTTTTTTTTTTTTTTTTTTTTTTTAAAGAAGCTACATAGATGCATGAAACAAAACTAAACCACATGTTCAATCGGTGGAAGTTAGAACAATTTCTCTAGAACCCACAGTCATATATTCATCAGCTGGAAACACCCACTTTTTAAAGAGCAGTTATTTCCTTACGTTTTTCCATTTATCTGGAGCAGAAGCAGCAAGCCCAGAAGCATGCTCGAGCCCAGACCGTTCCCTATTACAGAAACCAACCTGAGTGCTAGAGAAGCGAGTTCACACGGAGTAGAAGTGACCTATTTCATGACCGTGACTCACTTTCCTCTCTCTTTAGGCTGGCAGTTAGCTGCTGTGCCTCTGCTCCCCTCACCCCAAGTGGAAGGGATCTGGTTTTGCTGAGTGCATCTGTGTAACTTTAACTGTGAAGCACTGCAAAATAGGCTCTGGAGATGATGGTGAGCCTGAAGTACCTGCAAAACTTCAGCTTTACAGGAGTCTTATTTTGGCAAGCAGTAACCCTGCAGTTACATAGCTGGGTATTATATTGTCTTACAGGGTAAATCCAGGCAGGCACATGCTTGCTAAAACATTTTTAAAAATTAGATCTGCAGAAGATACTGGCTTGTCTACTTTCTCAGCTGATGTGATTACCTGCTCCCGTTGCCGGACTTCCTGATCTATAAGAACAAGGTGATCTTGAAGAGGTGACACCCATACGAGGTATTTCATTTGCATACTAGCAGTGGCAACTGAACTTTTAGAACTGATGTTGCATTTTGAGTTTGGGGACATGGGAGCATGAGCTTGCCACTGAGTACTTGATCTTCAAGGTATTTGATATTCTTTATGGAAAATGTGAATAAGGCTGCACATTGCTTGTGCTATCCAAGCTGGCCTGCAGCTTTTATTCACATAGCCATGAGATCCTAAACATGCCATTTAGTTTCAGGGCACTTCATAGTAATCCTCTCATGAATAGTCACTATGCGTGCAGAAGAAGAGATTAAAACCCAAATGGTTGGCTCATGCCAATCCAAAGACTGGCACGCTGTGGGCTCATTAGGGAGCAGCTCTCAGAGCTTCCTACGCGCATAGCTGCAGTGTGACACTGGCCTCTCTGGGGCTTCAACCTGCCACTGTGATGAACGGGCTGGGGACTCTCCCTTTGCACCCGGATCATCCCCTGTCATAAACTGCCAGCAGCCTACTGTCTCCACAGCATGACCAGGGCTCTGTTTCACCATCTCAGCCCTGGTGGCGGGGCATCTACTCTGGCAGATGCACAGCCACAGATCTGCTGCTGCTGAGGACTGTGGGTTGGGCTGGGGCTCTCCTTTGCATAGCTGCCTGAGGCTCAGGGTGCCTACAAAGTCTGCACCATTTTCTATGCGGACAGTCCTTTAAAAAGCAAAAGAAAGGCAAGTTATTAGCGCAGTTTTATATCTCTGTTTGAAAGCAATACAATTTTTAAATTAGAATAATGTCAAACCTACATGTAGATATGAAAAACACTGATTGCACATTCTGCAGTAGAAAGGAACATGTACAGCAAACAAATAAGACTTTAAATATATGTGTTCAAAATAACATAACTCACCAGAGTGAGTCTGCATTTTATTAGCATCTTCACTGTCCCAACACCCCTTTCTGCAGGCTAAGGAAATACCGTGCAGGTTCTCCTACCCTGGTTTGTTACACTTGCTGAGGATGGACTGCAGGTCTGTATAGAAGCTACTTGATTTTGGTGTTTCTTCAGCTACGTCAAAATCAAGTAGACGTCATGAAAATATTTCTGCACACCTCTGGTATATGTGCTACAGGGGAACTCTGCTGCAGTGGTTTTATTATGTTTAGTTTCTGAAAATTTTCCATTAAAAAAATCTCATTGTTCTTAACCAGAGGGATAGGGCTGTAAAGTGGAGCCCCATATCAGACCCCAGTCAGGCAATTGCTCTATTCACATAGTTTTCCATTAGAAATAGATGCAGTTACAAAATAACTTGATTTTCTATCCTAGAAACCAACATTTGGGGTTGGTTATAGCATGGGTAGAGACAGAACAAAAACGTACTGTATGTTCATTACTCCTGTCCCAAATCAGCAGGCTCTCCTCTTATCAAGTACCCACTGCTTTTAGTGATCAGCTGAGGGGGATGCTTTTAGTGCACCCGTGTAGGCCTGTCAATTAACTTTCAATTAATTGCCAGCTTATCAATTAAATGCCTGGGGTAGAAGTTGCAGCTGGAGTAGGAAACTTGCCATAGGAAGACAGCAGTCTGCTGAAACAGTCTGGGAACCATAACTTTAACAGTTACTATTAGACTCTTTGATAGTCTGGTTTCACAACTCTAAACTAAGAGTAGGTAAAGCAAAAATTTTGTATCTGGGTGCTAGAACAGCCTTATGCCAAATAGTGGCATTAGACAATATAAAACTGAATGAACAAAGTCTTCCAACACCATCTGTATTTGATTTCTTCCATTAAAAAGTGCCTGTGAGAAAAGTCACATTCTTATGTTAACAGGTACTTACCAGAAAATTTCTTTCCTACATGCAAATCATCTTTCTTGAAGAGTCAGTGTGCAATATAGAATGAAATTTCTTACTGTATTTCCAATGTTACTACAAAACAAACTTATCATTTAAGATAATCTCTGTTCATTCAAGTTTCTCTTTCTGACAATGCTTTTTGCTTCTGTACCTCTTGTAGCTTTTCTTATCTTGTGCCCTCTAGTCCCTTCTGAAGATCCTCATTATTTTGTCCTTTTCTGACAGCCATACCGATCTTCTCTGCCAGCCAGTTCTTCCAGTAACGCCAAATGCAATTTATATGGGATTAAGCACTAAAGCTAAAGAAAAAAAAAAACAACAAAGAAACCAACCCCAAAGACTTGGCCAGAGACTTTTCTTCATGGTGTTCTTTCACCACATTCATTCGGTGCCAAGCTCGTTTTAAAATGAACTTCCTCTGACAGTTTACATCTTTTAACACCTCCTCCCCTCACCCACCAGATATCTCCCCTCTTATCAGCCTCTGCCATTTTTCAGGTGAATTTTTTAGATACTCTATAATCTAAGAATCCAATTAAAGAGCAATCACATTAAAATAACGAATCACCAAGCAACATGTGGGAGAACTCACACTGAGAGAATGAGGAGAACTCAGCAGGCATAGAGCCTGCATCATAGGCAAAGGCTGGCAAACTGCTGAGAAGAGCAGACACACAGCCAGGCCTCAGTGATGGGGCAAAAGATATTTCCTAGAGTCTCAGAGATCTTCTCAGAGGAGTTTTTGTTGCAATACAGAAAGTTCCCGAGCTGCTGAACTGAGAGGAAGCCTTAAAAAAAGGACCTTTTCTGCCAGGACATAGTGGGCAAGAAGGAATTCGGTTTCTAAATGCTTTTTCTTCTGTTTTGTCTCACGCTAAGTTTTATCTGTTTAAAAAGCTACAGGATCTAGTTTCTGTTATAATAAAATGGGTTTGAGTTTAAAAGCTCTTTTGCAGTCTTGGGAGTGCCCAACTTAAGAAGAAAAAAATTGGCAGATCTACTGCAAAGCTTTAGTCAACTTGGAGTCCCATCACAGCCTTCAACAATCTGCACATTATGCTTAGTTGGGGAAGAGATGTTTGCTTCCTCCAGTGAAACAGATGACAGAATCTGTCTCAAAACCTTCAGAATTACCAAGAACAATAGTGTACATAGCCTCTTTTCTTAATTTACTTGCATGACTCTTGCTGATCTTTGCTGCCATATGAGATTTGCCTTCCTTGCTTTCCTTGGGAACACAGATTTTATGATCTCGTGGTCACAGTAGTGTTAAGCTTGATGAAAAGGTAGGTAGTCAGGTAAACAGCAGAACAGTCAGAATATCAGCCTGCTTAATGATGAAATAATTTCAAGACTGTCCTTCATAATGAAAATACAAAGCTCAGGTAAAAATGTGTCTATGGTGTGAGGCCAAATGAGATGGCAGTGAGATGGCAGCGTATATCTACCTATTATTTGTCACTCTAGTTTTCTCTTGCAAGTTTTACCCAGCAATGAAATAGTTAACAACACTAAACTGTATTTTGCTGCATGGCTTTAGTAATAACATGCCATTAAGATGAATGGCAAAAGTTCAGATCTTTGAAGATCTTGCTCTGTCTGACTGTGGACTCAAGCAGACACCTTTGAATTGCTTATCTTTGGCTTACGTTTTCAAAACCGTCGCTACAACCATCTGAGGGCCAGCAGGATGTTTGTAAAATACTAAAGCCATGGGATAGAGCACAAAGTGGCATCCATTATGACACAGACTCATCCTATGCTGCCTGTGAGCCAGCTCAAACTGCCCACACACTATGTGTCTTCATGATTTGCATGCCTCTCTTGGGCGATACGCTCCCTTGCACCTCACTTCGTCTTCAGCCTTAGGAACCCTTTGTTCAGACTGAGCAGCAGAAAAGCAACACTTAGAACAGACAGGGAATTATCTCACTTGTAAAAATAAGCATGCACGTATATGCATGTGCATGCATGTACGCTTGTATGTGTACACACACTAAAATTTAGTTTAATGATTCATGTTGTTTTTCTGCCTTTCCAGTCCTGCCCTGTTGATGTCCAGAAAGAAGTTGCCATTGATAATAGTTTGGAAACTAGTGGGCATGAATTTGTGAATAGAATTTCATTACTGTGCTATTTTGTCAGTCATTAGTACTTCATTTTACATGCCATCCATAACATCTCCAAACCAGAATCTGATTGACTGAATATATTTTGGCTTTTGCTAATAATAACTCTTCTGTTATAGGGGCATAAACCATTGCTGCTAAAGTGTGGTCCTAATGAGGAGTTTGTGTTAAAGGAAATCAAGGTCTTGATTTGACCCTGGTCGGGACTTACAGCCAAAACACTTTTAATCCTTCCTTCAGTCTGCCAAACAAGGTGTTGCTGTATTTAGGCAGCCAGGCAAAGGAACCTCTAGCATTTCAAGTTACTTCCAATGCATATACCACATGTAAAGCATAATTTCATATTATGATGTGGTAAATAAAAGCAGAAGAAATTCCCAAAAGCATGAGCATCCTGAAAAATACTGAGTTCAGCCTTTGAGGCTTCCTCTCAAAATGGATGAAAAGTGGTCTGTCAAGCAGCAGCTTAGTAGGCTGCCAGCTCCTTTTCTGTCTCTTCAGACTGTGGCTGAGATCTTCAAAGTTCTCCAGCCACTTCACTCTTGGTTGAATACCTTTTGGTGACTTCTGTCAAGGTGATGCAGGTCTCTTTAGAATTCTTGTTACCTGGGGCTCTCTTCATTTTTTCTTTCATTTGCTGTATTTATCACAACAGCATCCAGGTTAGTCAGCACAGAGCACTCAGAATATACGAATACAGACTCTCCTCCTTCTCTCCTCCAGCCTGTGATCAATGGTGCTGTTCCTGTGCCCTTTCTGAGTCCCACAGTAGTCATGGGTGGCTTGAAAGACCTGACTTCAATGAGGTGTCAGTTGCCCCACAACCCACCTCTGTCAATGCAATAATCAGGACCTGCTCTGCTCCTAGCAGCTCACAAAATACTTCATCTCTATCGCCGGCTCTCATCTGCAGCATTGCTTGGAGTATAAGCTTTCAAGTCTATTATTGTAATACAATCCTTTTAGCAATTGCTATTGCTTTTAAAACCAATTTGTTCCGCACTCACAGGCCTCTAAGCTCTCATAATATTAAGATCGTGATTGGTGCCTGCACACTAGACTCTGCTTGCTAACAGAGGTCTCAGAAAACTCTCTGGTTACACAACAGGCTAGTGTGGAGACAGTGGAGAGAGAAAGGGAAAAAAGAGCACTTTAACTACACTTACTAGTCTCTCTTCCAGAATTGCAAAATTCCCTCTGTTGTACATTACTGATGAACAGTTCCCCACATACCCGTGCAGTGCAATGGCTGTTTAGAAGCTCTTTGTTAGCATAACACAGTGTAAAATGCTGATCTTGTGCAGCAGGTCTGAGAACAGAAGGCAGTAGGGTATTTCAGGAAGATACTTCATCATTTTTGGCTTCACAATGTACTGTTCTAAAACTGTTGCTTCGAAATGTTTTAAAATACATTCAATATACTATTACAAGCATTGATGGATTCATTTGAACTAAACAATTAAGGAGGTATAATAACTTTACTCCCTGAGCACTTTAATTTCACTTAACAGTGCAAGAGCTCAGAGGAACAAGGGCTTACACAAAGCCCATCTGTTAGCCCGTTTCCCTGTTAGTTGGTTTCAACTATGTTTGAGAGAGCACCAGCCTCTTAAAGATAATTTCACGAACTTGGCAGGAAGGGTGGGGCTTTGAGATGGTGTGTGTGTGTGTGTCAAAGTGGTGGATATTTGAGTCTGCACAGCGGTTACAACAAGCCAGCGGACAATATCCCAGAAACAACAAAGCATGCTTTATTCTGCTCTAGAGGCTAGGATAAGAACATGAATTGAGGATGGCTTGCTGCAAGGGTTGGAACTGCATTCTGTTGTTCACCCTATTGTTGTTGTTATGTATTTACCCTGTAAAAATATACCGGGAAGGACAGGACTAGCATCTTGATAGCCTTAAGACTTCCTCACCTGAATCTTAGTTAAAAAAAAGTTATTTTCAAAGTTCCAATGTTCCAAGAATATTTCAAAATAAACATACACGATTATTTTTTATTGAACTTAGACCTGCAAAGATGTATCTTATGTTAGGCAAAGCAGACAAGTGTATCTTCTTGGGATTGCTTTTCCACTGCAATTAATTCTGGCACCTACTGAAAGGATAAGAATTATATTAGTACTATGAGAGTGACTATGCCAGCCAGCTGATGATATGAAAGCAGCTAGGTTAAAGCATTTGCTAGGCCACTGAGCATTCCCAGCGTGAGCTCAAGAAACATGAGCAAATTCAGGCTGAGCAAATTGCTGATTCAGTTACTAAAACTGCAGTGCCTCCTTGTCAGCCAAACTCAGTGCTGAGCAGAGTGTTCACCATCTGCCCCCTGTGCAATGCTCATAAATGTTGCAATCAATATACAATTTGGGATGTATGGGCAATGCTGGAAGGTAAAAATATATTTTCCTTGCCAGATATATGTTAATTGGTTGTTTCATTTTGCACATATGGGACAGTAAAATGTATTTGTTTTCTTGCCAATAAAGGAACATTTTCCTAACACTCCTTAGTCACATCATATCTACAAAAGGAGAAGGCTCTGATGTTTCCTGTTGGGTTTATGGTTTACATTACAATTCATACACAAATGTTTTTTGGCACTCTAAATCCTGAGCTAGAAGTATTTTTAAAATTATGTCCTGAAATAGGAACTTCAGAACACTGTGTCGGCATCTGGCAGATATCTCAAGAGTGTCATGAACTGTTACTACTTGAGGAACTTGGCAGGCACTGCATGGGCCTTGTGTACCTTACAAGTGTGTAGGAGTCCACTAACAGCTTAATTGTTGAGCATCTGTATTGCTGGGCTCTGCAATAGGCTGTGTCCACCCACCAACCTCAGAAACACACGGTGATCCAGGAAGATTTCACGGGATGTGTCTGGGCTCCTGAGCAGTGACAGGCTGCTCAAACACAAGTGACAGCAGCCCACCATTTCATGAAGCCCAGCATTTCCTCCTCAGGACAAACCTTTAACTGCTAATCAGTCTCACTGCTCGAAGGGCTTGGCATATGCGTTTCCATCCCCGTGTGTTTTACAAAGTGCTGATCTGCATGCTGAGGCCGAAGGCACTTTATAAAGTGTTTGGGTTCTCATGTACAATAGCGTTTCCTGGTAGGAGAGCAGAGGGACTGCTGCTGGGGCCCTGGGTGAGAGGCAGCGGTGAAGCCAGCAGGCCCCAGAGCATGAGCGCATGGCTGGCGACGACTACGGCTCTCCCATCCAGCAGACCTCTTGCTCCAGGACAGAAAACCCTTCCACTCGTGCTTAAAAGTGGTGCCACGTTGGGACCGAGGGCTTGCTGGGTCTTTTTGTGGGCCTTGGCCCCCAGCCTAATTGGCGTTGTAGCCACGCTTTGTGACTGCTCGGGAGCAGCCGCAGCTGTGCTTGTAGGCTGGAGTTTGCCTGGAAAACCAATTTCATGTCCATCTCTCTAGCTGGGCCTTTGCAGAGGCCTTTTGGTGGGAGCTGTATACGTGTTGTACTTCAGAACATCTGCAATCATGTGTGTTCAGGACAAACTCTTGCTCCTTTAAGAAGACACACATATGCCATACACTTCCATATGGTTAATGGCAAGGCAAAACTTTTGCCACTTTATAGGGTCTTCATGGAAAAAGTTACATAAATTTACATAAAAATGTTAGTATTTTTTTCATGGTTTA